GCTCTCTGTACACGGTCAGCACTGTCCAGGTGAGGCTCTCTGTACATGGTCAGCACTGTCCAGGTGAGGCTCTCTGTACACGGTCAGCACTGTCCAGGTGATGCTCTCTGTACACGGTCAGCATTGTCCAGGTGAGGCCCTCTGTACACGGTCAACACTGCCCAGGTGAGGCCCTCTGTACATGGTCAGCGCTGTCCAGGTGAGGCTCTGTACACAATCAGCACTGTACGGGTGAGGTTCTCTGTACACAGTCAGCACTGTCCAGGTGAGGCCCTCTGTACTGTATGTGCTTTCAATGTCAATGTTCTTTCTTTTTTCTAGGGTTTAACAACTCCGAAAGGATGTGTGATAAAGAGTTCATCATCCGCAGAGCTGCTACTAATAGGGTTCTCAATGTTTTACGGCACTGGGTGTCCAAACATTCACAGGTAAAGCACCACGGTCTTCTTAGCAGGGTTTTGTCACTTCTGGGGTCTAAAAGGCCATGTAATGTAAGATCGGACCATGTCAGGGGCATCTCTGCTCAGGACCTCACACTATCTGTAGGGTGGAACCAGCCCCTTCTTCGTAGTGTGCTCTTCTACTGCTTTGGGGGCTCTGCAAGCTGGGTACTGGGAAGAACCCGAGAGGCAGTTCAGATTCGGGTTTTGATTGCCCCCATGTCAGCAGCCAAAACACCCTGCAATTCGCAGCCAGCAGGCCACTGAAGCTCAGCAGGTGTGATGGGAGACTCCTGGGAAAAACTAAGGCTCCTGCTGGAAGAGGTTTTAGTGGGGCCAGCAGGGGGTGCTCACCCTGCGGTCTATGTGGGTCTTTATGTCCCAGTATAGTGACGGGGACACTAAACTGTAAAAAGGCGCCGTCCTGTGGATGAGATGTAAAACCGAGGTCTTGACTCTTTGTGGTCATTAAAAATCCCAGGGCGTTTCTCGAAAAGAGTTTCCATTGGCCTTTACCAATCATGGCCTCCTAATAATCACCATCTCTAAACTGGCTTCATCACTCTGCTCTCCTCCCCACTAATAGCTGGTGTAATAATATTATTATTATTGCCCATGGTACATATCCTGTATGCCATTAAAGTGGTATGCAGAGCTAATATTGATACAGATGAGAATATAGAGCTCTGCTGTATATAGAGTGCTGATGTATTGATGCTGACAGTTGTATAATGTATGGCCATACTGATACAGGTCGGTATACAGAGTGCTGCTGTATTGATTCGAACATGCCTGAACAATTAGAGCATTCTTGGACTAAGTCACAGTGCTAACGTCATACATATCATACACAGATAAAGCTGCAGATTTCTTTAGCAGACTCCTGTAACCTGACAAATCAATCTCTGACATGGTTTCTAAGCAGGGATGTAAAAACTAGAGGCCTGCAATGAATAGAGGTTTTGTCATACCTGCTTGGTTTCCAAAGGCTGTGGGTATATTTTACAATTCCAGGGAAGGGAGGATTTCATATGCCAAGATGTCTGCAGTGCTGAATGAAATGATACCTAGTAATTGTATGTTCATTGTACATTGCATCATAGCATTACAATAATAGCACAATATTGCTATTTGCTTACTGTATAAGCTGTAATTTGCAATTAACATGAGCTGAAGCACACAGCTTACCAGTGAAAGCAGAAAGACACTAAAACCCTGTGCTCACCAGCGCAATATCTGATTCCCGCTCAAATGTTTTGGGTGGATCAAAAAATGTGAAGAAAAGTTTCAGCTGCCAGAATCTCCACTCCCCCGATATGAATGTACAGCTGGATTTATACATTGAAGAATGGGAACAAATTTCACAGTCAGGTTCTGACAACAAATCTAAAGTTACAGTACAAAAAAAACACATTTGGATACTGTGGTGGCAGAGGGTTTCAGCACAGTTCTTATCTTTTGTCCCTCGGTTGTCTGTGAAGAAAAGGAACTGTGGTATGGTCAGTCCTCCATGCAGTTGGAAAGATTTTCTCCTTTGTTTTTTATGTATCTCAGGATTGCTTGTCTTCTCTCAGAGTTCTGACAGTAATTTCACCGAAACAGGAAGGTCAGCTAAGTTCATCTGGCGTATTGTGCTGGAAATGAACTTAGGAGTTAAAAATAAAGGGCATGAAAGAGCCAAGGGGAACTTTTGCTGGCTACATTCCTGCATGGACCCTCCTATATTCCAGTTTTTTTAAAGGTCAATGGGTAATTGTGATAAAATCACAAGCATGGTATTAAATGGAAGGAAATGCTCCAAGGTGACATTTCTTTGTTGTCTGTGAAGTTCCGTGCAGTAAAAGGTTGATCTGATATGAAGCATCAGTAGTGCCATTGTGCAGAAAACTCTGGTTCCCAAGCTAAATTTGGAGCCCCATACTGTACATCGGGACATACTGTGCCAAGATAAAGATTGTGAACCCTCAAGGTTGGTCTGTATTCTGGTATATTTTAGACCTAAACATTTTTAGATATTCAGAAAAAATCTTAATAAAAAAGATGAGGATAGCCTGATGAAACTACTACTGTATACTGTATAACACATCTAGATATAAGATACATTTGGGTTATCTGATTAACAACATGACCTGACAGTAAATATCCTTGTGTGAATACGTTTGTAAAACCTTAGATTCAGCAACTGAATCTAAACACCTCCTTGAGCATAAAGGACTTCAACTGGATACTTCCTGTAACTGTTTTTCAGCCTCTCGCATCCACTTTTGAATTTTGGCCCATTTTTCCTTTCAGAACCGTTTAAAGTTGATGACATTTGAAGGATTCCTTGCAAGAACTCCACACCTCATGTCCCACCATAATATTTCCGTAGTGTTTAGGTCCAGACTTTGATTGGGCCAATCCAAAATGCTTTAGCTTGAATGCTGTGCATTTGTGTAGGATCATCATCTTGCTACATGACCCATTTTCTGCTCAGCTTCAGCTGATGATTGGAAAGCCTGACGTTCTCCTCCAGAACATGCTGATACAGCACTGACTTCATGGTTGAATTCAATGATGGCAAACCATCTAGGTCCTCAAACAAGAAAGCAGTCCAAACTTTTTACATGTGCCAAAATATCATTCTTCCAGCAGTCCTGGGGATCATCCAGGTTTTCTTTGGGTAACTGGAGATGGTTTGCAATGTTTTTTTTAGAGAACAATGATTTCTTCCTGGCAGTCCTCTCATGAAAATCGTTTCATGGTGGTTGAAGCATAAACGTGAGAGAGTCCTACATAATGTTAGATGTTACCCTGGAGCTCGTTGAGACTTCCTGGATGATTCTCTGATTTGATCTTGGCTGCATGACTGATCCCGGGTAGAGTCACTGTGCTCCTGAATATTTTCCATTTGTAGACTGGATCAGTCTGATCGTGAATGGATGGAGCCCCAGATGTTTGAAAATGGTTTTGTGTCTCTTTCCAGACTGATGAACTTCTGTTTCCTGAGATCCTCTGAAATCTCTATTGATTGTGGCATTTCATGTTTCCACTAACCTGTATGGTGAAGATCAAACTCACAAAGTACAGCATATAGGACAGGGCGGCCCAAACTCAGCTCTTGTTTACATGTAATCCAATTATTTAATCACCTGATTCTAATTACCCCCTTAACCACTGTACTGTAAATAAACTATACTTATTTTTATTCACTAATTTCATTACACTGCACACTATTCTAATATAACTAATTCTTCATTATACATTTTGTGTGATTCATACCCCACTTCATCTAAAAAAAAACATTGACTATGTGAATCTAAATCCTTTTGTTTATTTGAGAGAAGGCCGGTTCTTATTAATCAAGCATATCATTGTAAGGCATTGCAAATTCCAGAATTATACTGGGGGTTCACACAATTTTTCTTTGCACTGTACCCTCCCAACTCACGTTTCTTTTCACCAATGATGCTTTGTGATCTTGCTGTTTTAAAGGAGATCATGACAGGCTGGACTGAATAATTCAGCAGGGCAGAGAAAAGCTGCCTAGAGACCCGTGTTGACTCAAAGGAAGCACACCTAAATGAGAAGGTTCTCGGCAGGCAGCACTTATTGCTAGGATTTAAGCAAGACTGTTAGCTGACTCTGCAAACCAACAGAGCTGGCTCTGTTCAATCCCATATCCATTTGTGATTTGAATGGTTTATGATAGAGATGGTGTGTTTTTTTACACAGTGGATGGTTGGAGTATGGAACAAGCTGCCAGTGGAACCTGATTTCTTTCAAGAAAAGGCTGAATGGGAATGAGATCAGCTGTTTACTGTAGTAGCTACAAAATGGGCCCTTCTTGTTTGTAAGCCTTGTGTTCATATGTTTTCATGGTGGTCACATGTTATTTCCTTATTTCTGGGAGTACAAAAATCCATAATTCCTCTTGGGTATTTATCATCTTTATAGGCATATCCCAACTGTTAAATCAAATCAAAACCAGTTTTAACTCTATTTAATTAGAATTTAAGTAATGATCCTAATACCGAATAGATAAGGATCTGAAATCTGCAGCCACTAAACTAACAACTAAAAACAATACACATTTTTTTCCCTGAAACCCAGAAATCTAAAAGTGGCCAGTAATTGGAATGGTAGAGAGCTCTGCAAGGAATACACTCCACTCCGTCCTATGTGTTTTGGCCTGCTTGTTCTCTGTTCCAGTCTTCAAAGGCATCAGTTCAGGGAACAGAAGTAACCTGTGACACTGAGACACAGATTCCTCTCCACATCTGACAAAGTCTGTCATGCGTGCCCTGTTACACAGCTTCGCCGTTGTCACCCTTAGTTTGTTAGAGACCCAGCGTTCCCTTCAGACCTGTACCTTGCAAATGTCATAAGGTGCCCTTAACCTTTGCACATGCTGAGGATGCAGTGTTCTGCCTACAGAGGCAGAGTAGCGCGCCTATTGCCAAGCAAGGTGGCGTGCCTCCAAGAAGCATCAAGATCTAGAATGTTTCGTAATTGCTGCAAATGAGGAAAATCGGGGATGAATAATTAAAACAGGAAAAAAGCTTTGAAACAGCAGCCTTTGCTCTATGTAGGCCACACTTCTGTTAATAAAAAATGACGAGCTGACAATGCCAATGATGTTTGCTCTATTGATCCACTGTCCTATTAAAGCTTTGCTTTGACTTGCCTGTATCCCACTCACCCTTACTTCAGAGGCAGTAAATTAAACTTGCATAGCTTTGCAGCTCGTGACACGCAGCAGCTCACTAACGAAGTGTTAAGAAAGCGTTTTAAGATTAAAACTCAGTCAGCCAGACCTTCTTCATTTACTGTCATACAGTGCGTACGGTACCATGCCCTTTATAAACTGGCTTCCCTAAATTAGCTTAGCGACTACCGCTGCCCCTTTTCTCTTTGGTGTACAAGCAGACTGATGACCTGAATGTTCAGTTTCTCCCATATTAAAACCACGCAGTTCTCTTTGCAGGAGATGCTAGACCTAGGCAGGAGGTAGAAAAGCAATCTGCCTGAGCATGTTCAGGTGATGCAGAAATCAAGCAGAAGGTGAAGCTCCTGGGGACGCAGGGCAGCCTGGTCTGACTCTAGAATCCCCTCCTTGATGGTGCACAGTCATGCACTTGTAGCTGGGGATCCCCTGTGGCAGATGGGTAGTGACCTGGCCCAAGCTTGCATCACGCTTGCTCAAGTGAGGGGATGCGAGATAGACTAGCCCCCTACAGTACATGCAATTTCTTGAATGGCAGCCAGGCAAGAACATGTCACGAAGAGATGCAGAGCAGTTGCTAGCACAAAAGAAAGAAAAGTAGTTTCTTAGGTGAGCAGGCAAGTATACCTGAATTTACATTTAACAGAGCTAGCCGCCACCGACAGTACATTTCACCCTCCTGAACAGATTGGTAATGCATGCTTTTTTCACTTATAGAAATTATAAGGAAACGGTGCTGTTTATGCAGATGTGTGCTGAGGCCTGTCGCTGGAGGATTCTGCCTCAGACAGATAATTGATACAATTTCTCCTCTCCATTAAATTCACTTCACATCTGCAATAAAGCTGGATTTGAGAATATACAGGAGGAGCATTTCTGCCAATTGACAGCGCGACTGTTTTCGTTTTTAAGAACATAAGAAATTTTACAAGCGAGAGGAGGCTGTTTGCCCCTTCCCACTCCTTTGGTAGCAGTTAATTTATTTGAGGATCTGACCCTGTCATTTTTTAAAAGAAGCCAGGTTATCGGGAACATAAGGACAAAAAACATAAGCACATAAGAGAGCAGCCTGTTAGCTGTGTATACAGGCAGGATATTAGGTTTCTGAATTGAGCTGGGAGCAACCACTGGAGTGTCAGCAAAAAACAGCTTCTCACAGAGAACATACTGTGCAGACAACATAAGGAACACTTTTATGATGAATGGATGAAGGAATTTACAAGCTCATGAAACGTATTGAACAATGTCTGCAGAAACTGGTTAGATGCTTTTTTTTAATGGAAGTGTTGTCTTTCTGAAAAGAAATTCCTGAATATTCTGCAAACAGCAGGGTTTGTTAAGAGGCACAGCTATGGAAAATAATAAAAATAAAATTGGATTTATATACAGGTTTATGCAGTATCTCAAAAAACTGTCACATATTCTGCACCAACAGACCCACAATATAGCAGATCGGGTGGAGGAGTGAGAAATTGCTTCAGGGGGGAATTTTAGTTGACCCAGGCTGTGCAAAGTCAAGGTGGTTTTTAGCCCTATTGGTGGGATTAACAACCACACTACAAGTATGGCACTGTCATAAGTACTGTAGCCTCCTACTGCTGTGTCCCTGGTCACCATACTGCGTCAATCATCACAATCCACATTTTTGACATGGCTGCTACCTTCCAATTAACAATCCGTATGCAAAAAATGTTTGTAAGGCACAGATATGTAAATCTGAAATGTTAGTTTCGCTAGGTAAGTGTTAAGATCAGGATTTGCAGTGAATTGTGTTTCAAAATATGATTACCTTTCCATCCAACCACAATGGAAAAAGGACATACCATATAACTCCTGAATAAAATAAAGTTTCTACTGTGAATGTGAAATAAAATAAATCGGTTATACTCTTCATTACTGTATATATTTAGCTGTTTAGAAAAATATTGCATCATCTTTGTAATGGGCCATAAGAAAGCTGTAACAATACTGATACGCTGCACAGAGCCGACTCAGTCTGGTGCCGAATCACTGCCACTTTCTCGTGTCTTCATATCACAGGCTTCCTATGAATCCGAGCAGCAGGCAGGAGGACTGTCTAAGGGTAGCTTTCACTGAGCGCATTGTTTTAACCTATTCAGATAAGCTGTGTCCTTTAGTTCCTTCTCAGTTTTTTTTAGCTGCCAGTTTTGTCACTGCTGCAGTGACCTTCTGACTAGTCATCACGCATGGCCCAGACCTGATTATTGGCCTTATTGTTGGCCTCGTGCAATTTGCTGCATATGGCATATTGTCTTACTCTTTAACATTTAAATGCCAGAAACCTAACGTAGCAAATGCAAATACAAGCATTTAAAACTGTCAAAGAAGCTGTGGTTAAACAAGAGTCTGATCTTAATGTACAGCTACAGCTGTTGTTTTTTTTTTCTCATTTCACACATTAACCTGCTACTGGTAATGCTGTTCGTTCTCCGTAGCATCATCCATGATGATCAATCAAAATACTCTCTAAGTAATTTACTTTCTTTTCCCGGCATTTCTAAACCGACATGGTTAGGCACCTCATAATTGTTGTCTGCCATTCAGCATTCAGCTCTAGCGAAGATGTGACTTTCTCATATGGCATATGAAGACTTCAGATTTGGCGCAGCCAGAAGTAACATAGGGACTTTAAAAGAATAAATAGAGATTAACTCCATGGTGAAAAAGAAAAGAGAGCAGTTACTTTATTCTCCTTGAGTCTCTCTCACCTGAAGAAGGCTGAACAGCTCAAGAGGTGTGTCTTACCTTTCCCTCCTGCCTCTCAGCAGGGAATTAACCTCTGCTTGCTCCTTCAAAGCCTGCACACTGATGCAGCTCCTCACGGGAGCTGTGTGGAGTTTTTTTTTAAATGAGCATTTGCTCACCGAAGCCTGCGAGCAGATTCTCAAGATTTGCGAGCGTGCTCACAGTTGGCAGGAGACAAAGATGTGTTCTGAGAGAGCCGCTAATAGCTTATCCTCTTCAAGGAAACACGCATTCTGTACTTCAGGATTTCCTTGGTGGTCTCTTTCCTCAAGTACGTTTTAGACAACGGCCAGTGTAGCTGAAAAATACAAATAATAGAAAATACACAGTATACTGTATACGCATTTTGTGTTCATGTGTCAGGCCAGACGTTCTGTATACAGTATGGAGGTAATAATGTCATTTCATAGCTATGATTTATTTGGTTTGCTGGTAAAGGCATATCTTGGTTTCAGATTGTGTTTGGAGACCTTTTCACTAAATCTGAATAGGCGATTCTGTTTTTATCTCAGATTTTTACTGCATCTTTCTTTTTTCACAGTTTCTACAGTATATATTGCATCAGATGTTTTTTTTTTATTTCAGTCATTCACTCGTGGTTATATTTATACTTTTTCAGAATGTTAGTATTGTTGAGGATAATATTAATGTGTTTTTACTAATCTGTTTTTAGGAAACACTTTCATTCGTTTTGTTCCTGTATTTTTACTGACCACAGTGAAATGGAGAAACAAAAGGTGTTGCAGCCCAACAGCCCTTCTTTGAATTCAAGACGAGTGAAAAACAGGTCTAGCTCCAGTATGTTACAGTTAAATGTCAATGATTTCATAATGACAGCGACATTTCTGCAGGATTTCGAGATGAATGGGGAGTTGAAAATGGGAGTGATCTGCTTGCTGGAAGAAGTACTTCGTGACCCTGATCTCTTGCCTCAAGAAAGGAAAGCAACAGCTAACATACTAAGGTATATATTCTGTACTGCCGACACTATACAGTACTACCTACTGTACACTTACTGTCTACATGTGACCTATACTATATTGCCTACAGGATGTTTGACTTACTTTACTACTTACAGTACATGTGACTTACTGAACTACCTACTGTAAGTATGTGACAAAGGAATGCACTACATGACATGTACAGCATTGTGTGTGTTTTTTTGTGTGTGATCAAAGCATTTCATCACCTATTTATAAAGCAACATAGGCATCCTGTATATTACCTCGATTTTGTGGGATTTATGGCAACTTATCATGTGATTATCCTATACTTAGTAACATCTGAACTTCCGGTCAATGTCAAAACCAGTGCTGGAAACAAATCTAGATTCTAAACGGTTAAAAATGCAGAGAGACAAGTGCATACTTATAAACCTATCGGACTAATGTGCAGACAGCTACATCACGACTGATCTATAAAGTCTAAAACTGCAATGCAGAAAACCACAAGTTAGCACATAAAGTTTAGGAATAAGGAATAATTGCTTTAATTTGCATGTCATCCCAAATTGACTCACACAGCAGATCATCAAGGAGACAATAATACATTGTAATGGGGATCCCCTCCACCACCACCAATGTGCAGCCCCACCTGGATGATGTGACGGCAGCCATAGTGCGCCAGAACGCTCCCCACACACCAGCTCTCAGTTCATCAGAGTGATGAAGCCAGTTCAGAGATTGGCATGGTCTGCCGATAGTGATAAGAATCATTATTAAATTATTAATTAAATACAAATTAAAATACAGTAGAGTCGCAATTATCTGGCCTAAACAGGACCGACAGTATGTCGGATAATTGAAAATGTCGGATAATGTGGAAAACTGAGGAGACAAATCATAGATTAATGGAAGTGCAGTATAAGTATGAAATCTGGTTTATTAATACTAAATGTAATACTGTACTACTGTAATACTAAAACTAACAGAGTACAGAGCTATTGTTAGTTATTATTTAAAAGAGGGGGTGGTTGGGATCTGTCTCCCAGACGTGCTTCTCTTCCCTGCGGAAGGGTGTCGCCAGCGTCTTGGTAACATGACTTCGGAAACACAATAGGAAAAATAATCAGCATCACGAGCGCGAAATCAGCGAGCGAAGCAGGTGACACACGGAGAGGCAGAGCAGCATCGGATCGGGCAAAGTACCGTACATGCCATACACTGTGGTGACTGGCTGTGTCGGATGAAACCGAACGTCGGAAAAGTGAAGGTCGGATAGTCGCAACTCTACTGTGATGAGTAAAGATTTCGTGGAGGGTCAATTCAGTATCCCACCCTAGATATCTGCAAAAAGGGGATATGGATAATGTTTTAACCATTGCTATTGCCAGTGCCCTTTCTCAAGATGACCAAGAGGATGCCCAGCTAAGGATAGAAGACATCCTTCAAATGGTGAGTGAAGTTATTCTGGGAGCCCTGACCCCAGTAATGAACAGTCAGGAGCCCATGGCCATGTCATCTGATATCTGTGCACGGTGGGCCAGCTAGGCATGTGTTTTCAATAGCGGTTTAGCTGTAAATCCGCTGTAACTTTTTTATGTTGATTGTGCTGAAGTTAAAAGGGTTGATGAACAGTACTTGGAAAAACAGCCAGTTCTAAATTCATGCAAACTTACGACACTGTGACTGCATCAAAGTCTCTTTTGGCAACCTCACTGACAAAGAAGTGTGCTGGTGCAAATTCTGCAGTGTCCCGATTTCAAAACATGTCAGAAGCAATTACTAAGCAAGCTGCTCCCCATCGGCCAAAGACTCAGGCAGGATTCCCATTTCGCCATGTAACCATTTACACGGTTATGAAACTTATTTTTCAAATAAATAAATCCTGTCAAACTTTCACTCATGTGTTTGCATAATGCCTGCCCCCATGTGTACATTTCTTTTGAAATCATTTTATCTCCCCTTTCCTGGGGAGAGAATCCTCCCGTTTCTCACAAATAACACACTTATTCAATCTGTCCTTCGACTGTGGATCAGAAAAGCTGCCCCTTCCTGTACTTCATCATGGTAAGCACCGCTCCTCTCTCTGCCCCGAGAGAGAAGCCACAGTCGTTTGGAGCTGTAGCTGTTTGACCTGTGCAGTACTTGTTAGTTCTGCCATCCTTCCTCTCATCCCTATGGAACTGGAGCTCACGAGGATATTGCCACAATCTTGAGGAATAATTGAAGCCCAAGAATGAGATGCGTTTAAGAGAGTTTCTTAAGCATTTACAGTGCCTATAAAAAGTATTCACCCCCCCATCAACGTTTTCACATTTTATTGTGTTACAGCATGGAACCATGTATTTAACTGAGAACTTTTGCCACTCACCAACACAAGGTACTCTAATGTCAAAGTGAAAAAACAAATCTAGACTTTTTATAGGCACTGTAAGTAAAGCGAGATTTGGCTTGACTGGCTGGGCTGGGGGGCACGGGACAGGGAGACCGGGACCCCCATGCAGTGAGGAGTGACCAGGGGACAGCTGGTTAAAGATGTAGCCGGGGTGGAGGAGGGATACGCGAGGCAAAATGAGAGAAGAGCGATTTGTGTGCTGTATATACAGCATTGAGAAATGACCCAGGGAATGGTTATGATTCAGAACAGCTGGGGAGAAAGGCTTGCTTGCCATCATCCCCCCAGACGTTCAGTTCAGAATTTCCATGTATGGCACTGGGGATTGGGGCAGAAGTCAGCTGCTGGGCTTGCAAGATGCAGTTTAGACATCTCTCATTCCAGTTAAAAAGCTTAAAAGCTTGGCTGTTGAAATGACCTGTCTATCAGAGGCAGCCTTGCAAAAAAACAATGAATTAATTAATAAATGCCTGTTCATCCCAGGCCATGATAAGCAGGCCCTGGTAAAACAAACGGCACATTTACTATGCATAGGAACTTAAAATCTGACAAAGAAACAAAAACCTCTCTCTTCTTCGGTCTCCTTGGGTGCCTTCTTCAGTTCTTTACTAGCAAACTGGGAAGCTTAGCTGCATAACAGTTCTCCACAACAGCCACTCTCTGAAACTCTTCAAAATGCTTCCAGAATATCAAAACTCACAGTTCCTCAGCTCCACTTGCTCAGTCAGTTTGTGGCTTCTTTCCCTCACACCCTCTGGTGCAGCCTAGGTTGCAGAAGATTTGTCCTCCCCAGCGCCCTGCTTTTTAAATTCTCACCCGACCAATTGTCTTGTAGGAAGAGGTCAGGTGACTAAATGCAGCACCTCATTCTTCACAGCATCCTGGGGAATTATTCTGGAGTTATTGGCCTCTTCAATTCACCAAAAATTATCATTTATAATATAGTGTGATGTGGGAGACACACACCACACCTCCAGTAAGCGTCTCAGTAATAGCAGTACTGTATTTGTAGGATACATTTCCAGCACCCTTTGGGTCCTCTGGGTTCTGCAGTCAGATCTGCCCAATAACTTTGAATCTCTAGCAATGTGGCCTCTCAGCTGACCTCTCTACGTAGAGCTCCTTTCAGATCTAGTCTGGTTGATGAGGTGCATTCAGAAAGCATGCTACTGTATATATTTAGTCTCTAGTGCCTAAGAACATCCCTGTGGAAGTGGAGCAAGGCCACTTGAAAATCATCCTGCACCTGAGGCCGAAACCCCTCTTTCCTTCTTCTATATTCATGAGTGAAAGAACAAAAGGTCACAGGCTGAAATTCCTCGCTAGGCCCAGGGACGTTTAATGTTTTTGGTTTTAAATGTGCCTGAGCACATGTGCTTGGTCATTCTGTGCCATTCTGACAATCGCACAGCTGTAAATCTAGGAGATCGCTGCCTGTTTATCTTCAGCAGTATACAGAAGTTGTCACCCATCTCGAAGGTTTGGTGATTAAAATCTATTTCTTATGCGTGTGAAATCAATGTCCACAGTGTAGTTATATGTTGGCTGTGAATATTTACGTAACATTTTCAAAGCACGGCTCTGTTAGTTAATCCTTGTCCTCCCTTGCCTGAGTGCCTCAGACAAATTGGCTTTGCTTCTTTGAGGGAGTCGATACACTGGAGGTTTACTTCTAATAAGATAGTGCCATTAACACAGAGACAGAAGGCAGTGGCTCCTCAGTGCCAAATACTGTTATTACAGCTTTTCCCTAGTGTGGCTTACTGATCTCCAGTGGCATGGCGTGTCAGGAGGTGGGTGGCTGTTGGACTTGTGGGGTTGGAGGTACAATACAGGGTATAATCAGTGTCAGAGAAATAAACGTGGTGGATGCAGAGGAAGGTATTCCCTTGTGCGTCTGCCAGCTTTATACAATGACCTTTGCAAAAGACCAAAAATAAACATGAATAGAGCATTCAAGATGTTAGGTCCAATCATTGTTTGCCACTACCTATTCAGATTAAGTAGACTTAGATTGCTAAAGCATTGCTCAATTTTTGTAAAGGTTATGCAATTTTCAGCATTTAAGAGAGATTTCTATTTTTTTTTACAAATATCTGTTTAGCTCTGCAAAAGTCTTGCACATTCATGATTCCTGCTGTATCTCATTCTGCCTCTCACCCAAACCGGTGGAAAGAAGCCTATGATGTGAACTCAGCTCTGTAGCAGGTGCTGCTCCTGGTCTTTGTGCGCCCTCTGCAGGCCCATTGTCAAAGTACATGACTTTACTCCATCTTAAAACAGAAACCAGAAAAATGCTGAAAAATTGACATTCATCCACAGACATCTTTTAAGGAAGGTATTATATTACCATTGTGGAAATCTCTATCATTTAAATGAATGTATTTTGCAATTTTGTGCCCCAATTACTGCTGAATGAATTAGCTGTAACCTGAACTTTGGGGACTAGAATGGCTGTTTTCTGATGAGCTTCTACTACAGATATATTAATACAGAGTGATAGCCACAAGTCACAGATAGCGCCGCATGCGACAGGAGATGCCAATTGTCCAGTGCAGTGTGCTAATATTACTTTGAAGTTGTTTTATGTATAATCTGCTAAGGCAAGCACAATTGTATGATCTGTGTTGTATTAATTCAGTGGAATTAGCTCAGTAGGAACAAGCTGAAGTAAATGCCGCGTTGAAAAGTTTTTTAAAAAGCCAAGAAAATAACATTTTGGTTGTGTAGCTTTCTTCAGGTGTGTCAGGTCAACCTTAATAAAAATGGATCTACAGAATTAGACACTCTGAAGAGGCTCCTCAGCTCCAATGTTGTGTTTTTTTCTGCTATCTTTTTTACTTTCAGTGTGTAGTTGATCTCTGCTTCTTCCTTTTTAGCTAGCATGCTGGTCTTTCACAGTGGTGGTGGAGCATGTGTTCGGGGAATTTCTATAGGACTGTAGCACAAAAGGCAAACAGTCCTGCTCTGATATTTCAAAAGGTGTATTCAGGCCCTGCAGGTCAGTTTATTTTCACTACCTTGCACCGTGGAAGCTGTTGCAAAAATAAATGTTTTCCATTGCCAGTCGATGGGAATGCAGACAGGACTATATCAATCAGACCAGCATCGGCATCTACAAGTAGTTTCATAATGAGGACAGAAGTCGAAGCCCCCTAAACCCTTTAGAAATCTTCCCAGCTCAGCAGCTGTTTGAAACCCACCCTCGGACACACAAAAAATGTGTGCTTGAAAACAAGGAATCTGAGGTTTGTGGTTTAGCAAAAATTGGCGAAGGTGGGTATCGGCCCTACAGAATCTCAAAACCAAATCCATCCATCCTCAATTCAGGGTTCTGCAATAACCATGTCTGGATTTTAATTTGAGTGCATTCCTGTATGAAGGAGACTTTCTTACACCTGCGCTTCAGCCATCCTCTAAAAAGCTCCTGAAATGTTTCTGGACAGCTTACCCCAAAGTGATGGACCAGACCAGTCAGTTTAGTCTTGCTTGTAAAGTGTGCTGTGATACAGCAGCGGAAGCAGGGTTTGGGTTGGCCAACACCAGCGTGTCTGTCCTTTCACAGGCGGAGTGCCCGAAGGCCGAGTGTTTCGAGACCCTGTCAGCCATGGAGCTTGCTGAGCAGATCACTCTGCTGGACCACATCGTATTCAGGAGCATTCCCTACGAGTGAGTCCACCAACTTTGCTTAAGGGGGAACTGCGACACTAGTTTTATATTTCGGCATTAGAAAGAACTGGCATTGATGAGTGCATTTCAAACCACAATAGAAGTAAAATGTACATGGTAACCTCTAAAACTTCCAATTTACAGCACAACATAGACAGAATTTTACAGGTGTGCGCAGCGCCATGTTCTGTGATTCAGAACGAACGAAAGTTCGCGATTTTGTGCTTATTTTGAACATTGTAAAATTTTTCGATACAATCAATGAATCTATTTTGTTCCCAATATTTAAGAACCGGTCAGAGAAATTGGGACTGCATTAACTCATCTATTAATGATAATTAGACATCAGAGGTCACCTGTATCATCAGAGCGTCAGCAAATCTACATTCTACAGTATTAGTATGAATGCTCATGTTTTCTGACACTTCTTCTCTTTTAGGGAGTTTCTTGGCCAAGGGTGGATGAAGGTAGATAAGATGGAAAGAACCCCTTACATCATGAAGACAAGTCAGCACTTTAATGATGTAAGTAGGGCCTCCCTGATCTTGCAAGACAGCTCATTCTGGTTATGCTGTACTTAAAAAACACCGTACTTGCCATTTCTTAGAAAATATGGTTTTCAAATACTGTAGGTGTCATTGCAGCACAAGCATTCTAATACACATACTGTACAATTTCTATGTCACCAAAAGTGATCACCTTAGAAATCTGATGAGGTCTGCCAATTAAAAACATCTCGGGCTTATACTTATTTATTTGGAGATAATTTTTGCCCCCTCCACCCAATTGTATATCTTCTAGACATTTGACTAGTCCTGATCGAGAAACATAAGGATTTGATGATGTATGCAGGAAGATCTGTTTTAGCAGCAGAACAGTGGAAGTCAACAGCATATTTATTAACAATCTGACCTAACAGTAACCATATACAGTACGTTTTGATAAGGTAAGGACCGAGGACTGGGCCTTGAGGAACTACAGACAGGAGAGGGGCAGGAGGCGATTTAAAAATCGCCCGTGTTTCTTGCTCTGATGCACTGTGCAGCTGGGTTTCCTCGTGATTTAATGTCCGTGCTGTCTGTCTGCCATTACTCCTCCACCTGTTTCTCCTCAGATGAGCAACTTGGTCGCCTCCCAGATCATGAGCCACACGGACGTGGGCTCGCGGGCCAACTCCATTGAGAAGTGGGTAGCAGTGGGCGACATCTGCCGCTGCCTGCACAACTACAATGGGGTGCTGGAGATCATCTCCGCCCTCAACCGCAGCGCCATCTACAGGCTGAAGAAGACATGGGCCAAGGTGTCTAAACAGGTGGGCGGGGCTCGGCCCAGGTCGACTGTGCACGAGGAGTGACAGCACCCAAGAATGTAAAGCAGTGAAAGATGTGTGTTGAGTGTTCAGTCACAGTAAGATTTGGCTTCGCCCACTGGGCTCAGGACAGAGCGAGGTGCACACCACAGGGCAGCTGCAAGGGTGGATGAATCTGCAGGTGAAGAGGCTCATGTATAGTGTTTATATTTTTTTAAATTGAGGATAGGATGTCACGAATGATTACGTAATTAAGTAAATAAGTAATTAAGTAAGGGCAGCTGAGGTGAGTTGAACTTGTCTGCTATCACCCCCCCCAGAATCTACCTATGAATCCTGTTTAATTAGAAGGAGGGGTAAGTGTCCATAAATGTAGAACTGCAACTATTGCCACCTGTTGCTGTGTACAAGTCTATGCTGGGGCCTCCTGATTGTCTGTGCCAGTGAAGGCGCTGGCTGGACTGTGGTTTGAGCTCTGTGATCCTGAGCAGAAGCTCTGAATACACTGTTCTCGCCCTCCCCTGTGTGAGGTAGCGGGGAATGACAATTCATCAGTGCAGAAGAAAGGTTACATACAAGAGGGGGCCATTTGGCCCATCTAAGCCCTTTGTTAATTAGTAGCTAATGAATTCGAAGATTAATACCTGCCAGCTAAGAAGTGAAACACTCTACGGGTTATTCCACTTGGGAGGGCAAAATTATATTGTCATTCTGAATCGGAAAAAAGATGTATGTGCTTAATAATAATAATAATAATAATTGCTTACACTTATATAGCGCTTTTCTGGACACTCCACTCAAAGCGCTTTACAGGTAATGGGGACTCCCCTCCACCACCACCAATGTGCAGCATCCACCTGGATGATGCGACGGCAGCCATAGTGCGCCAGAACGCTCACCACACATCAGCTATCAGTGGGGAGGAGAGCAGAGTAATGTAGCCAATTCATAGAAGGGGATTATTAGGAGGCCATGATTGGTAAGGGCCAATTGGAAATTTGGCCAGGACACCGGGGTTACACCCCTACTCTTTTCGAGAAGCGCCCTGGGATTTTTAATGACCACAGAGAGTCAGGACCTCGGTTTTATGTCTCATCCGAAGGACGGCGCCTGTTTACAGTATAGTGTCCCCATCACTATACTGGGGCATTAGGACCCACATGGACTGCAGGGTGAGCGCCCCCTGCTGGCCCCACTAACACCTCTTCCAGCAGCACCCTTAAGGCTTAAGGCATATTTCAGATACTACATATATTAGAATTTCCAAAGCTGGACAGGAGACATTATTTTTCAGAAGCATTTTCATTTTTGAATGAAAGTGGACAATGAAGGTGACGCTTCACCTCTGCTTTCATGTAGACCAAAGCGCTGATGGACAAGCTACAGAAGACGGTGTCATCAGAAGGCAGATTTAAAAACCTAAGAGAAACACTTAAAAAGTAGGTCATTCTTCTTTTTCTTTCTTACAATCCCTTTCACATTTCCTTTGACAATAATCCCAGTTATTTGGTACGGAAGCGCATTGCTTCCACCAAGGAAAAAAACAATCCTCACCCTTATCTCGTAATTCCGAGAAAACTCTCTCGTAATTATGACTTAGTAATTCTCGCATACTTTATGTGCTCACGCAATTGATTGTCATATAATACCTACTGTATATCAAGTAGGTAGTGACGTCAGCATGCGTAGGCTGCAAAGGAACACGTTAAAGGGTTATTCCATGCTGAAAAGAGAAGAAAAGGCGTCGCTCAACAGGGAACCAGCCAGCTGAGCTAAAGGGAGACCTCCCCTCAGATCCCTGCTTTTCACAGGGAAGGGCGGTGACGTCACCGCGCTGGCAACCAGCTCGCACAACCTGTGATGTCGGCCATGTCCGTAACATCACCTATATCACTATGTGCGGACTTACAGGTTTAAGCAGTGGAAGTGAGAGCATGTGCAACTGTTCTTAACGGGACCATCATTGCTTTGATCTCTAAATCCCACAAAACTGGTCCTCATGCTTGTAATGATTCTGTTCATATTTGCTCAAAATTGCAAGATTTCATTATGACCAAACCCCAGTCGAAATCTGTACACATTCTGCTGAAAGTCATTCATTAAACTGAAAGTGCCAGCCAAGTTCATCGTAGCGTCTACATGCGTTCAGTGCACAGCGTAACAGGTTGTACATATACTGACGTAAGCATTGCTATCTCGTAATTACGAGATAATTCATAAAGAATTTTTTTCCCTTAGTGGCAGCAATGTGCTTCCATAATTTGGTATTATTCTGTGAATACTAAATCTTATGCAATTTCTTTTTATTTTTTATAATTACTTTTTATTTCGTGATGATTTACATCTAGAACTTATGCAAAGTGTAAAAATGTTCTGGTTTAATCTTTTGTTTTACAGTTCTATTTTTGATATAATTATTTACATTATGTCAGCATGGATGGGCAGATCTTACTTTGATTTGTAGGAGAATATTTCATTCTTCTGACTTCATCATGTTGAGAATGCGATGAATGTGTGTCCGAATGCTCACAGGCATCACCTATTTCGACAGCAAATGTCAGCCCATATACAGGGTTTCAACAGGTGCAAGTTTACCTTACAGTTGACCTTACCTGATTTCTTATCATTCAATTTTTACCATGTTTCATGTCTTCTTGTATTTCTTGTGTCCGATGTTCTGGTGTTATACAGTGCCTAAATATATTACAGTACCTGCAATAACAAGTACCTTTAACTGCAATGATGAAACGAGATTTCAGTCAGTGACTGGGGCTCAAAAGTGAGCCGGGAAACAAATTATATCACAGAACACGGAGAGCCAGAAATGCCATGAGGTCGGTTTTAATTGTCATCTGCCTGCTCTGTTTCTCAGCTGTAACCCTCCCTGTGTTCCGTACCTGGGGATGTATTTAACAGACCTGGCATTTATTGAAGAGGGGACCCCCAACTTTACTGAAGAGGGCCTGGTTAACTTCTCCAAGATGAGGATGGTATGAGGAGAACGTTTATTGAGGACTTTAGATCGTTTTGTGTTCCTGCTCTGCATTAGGGTTAAAATATTTGTAACTTAACACAGAAAAATCTTAAATAAACATGTTCCTCTTGTTTCAGTCATGTCTTAAATTACAGTATGTTGCTCAACTTAAGAATTCCCATTTTTTTTATGTCCCGTGTTTACAGAAGTTTCTCATAAGCACTTTTTTTTTCTCTGTGTGTTGTGATCTTATTGTCACTGTTTAAAGTCATTAGCTAAAATTCCAAAAACAACAAATAGCGTCTTAATTTCTGCTGCGGATAATCCAAAAAGGAATGCAGAGTACATAAAGTGCAGATCCACATTTAAACACGTGTTCTTGCTGCTTGGTTTTGTCCCTGTGACAGATATCCCATATCATTCGGGAGATTCGTCAGTTCCAGCAGACCCCCTACAGAATAGAGCACCAACCAAAGGTATCACTCACCTTGCAGTCACCTGCCGGTCGCCACACAGAGTCTACTTTTTATTAAAAATTCTCTGATGTCTGCTATAGATCAATTAAACCAGAAGATGCTGGTTAGAACAGGTGCTGTGTCCAGCCACTGACATCAATGCTGTGGCTGGACTGGAATGTACTGAGAGGGACTGTCAGGTGTAGCCAGTTGGAAAATTTCAATGGTCATCTTCACTTGGGATCTTGGGATGCGTTTGTGAGCCCTGGTTGTCCTCCTGATCTCAGTGGTATGTTACCTGTTTCTGCCAGGGTTCAGGGGAGAGAAAGAGGGCCCCGCTGTCAGCACTTTCTCTCAGAAGAGAGTGATATCCACCATGAATCTCCCGATGCAACTGGAATTCGAGAGGAGCTGTATTCAGTCAAGCTTCTAATAAATTGCAGCTTGTTCAAGCCTCAGCTGCTCCAAAAGTTAAATGCATTTTAGCTTCCTTGCACTGGCTCTCTGTGGAATTTGATAAGATGATGAGAGCTGTGTGCACTCAATTTCCAATCCCCCTCAGGAGTATGGGTTTCTCAAGTATATGTTTTAGTGACCTGGACTTTCCAAGTTGGTGAAGAAAACAAAATGACCAGGTTCAGAATAAAAATAAAACTTAAAGTCAATATTCCACATTATCACTTGTGACAAGTTATATGTGACATATATATGACAGGAATTAAATGTATTATGTACAGTGTATTGTGTTACGTCTTTTACCTGCCTGCAAAGCAAATTTGCCATCTGGCACAATAAAGTACAGTAAGTCAAAATCACTAGTATCGCCATATGATCAATTACAATGCTGAATGCCATTTCAATTAGTTTAGAAATAGTTGTGTTATGGACAAAGGCAACAAATTGATCACAGCATTGCCAGACCTGGAGGTTCAGAGGGCAGGGCCAGAGACAAAAAGAGGCAGCGTCCCATGTACAATTTCATTTGACGTTGTTAGTGGCGGGCAGATTAGCATCTCTAATACAGCTTTTCTGTGGGCATTGTCTGAGCATCGCCGTGTCTTTTCCGGAGTGCGTCTCATTGCTGGTGTCTCCCCGTTTGCCAGGTTACTCAGTTCTTACTTGACAAGACCCTCACCATGGATGAAGACACCCTTTACGACTTGTCCTTGAAGATCGAACCCAGGCTGCCGGCATGATGGCCCACCACGCCCGCAACGTCAGAAAGGAGGGAGAGCAGCAGCTGGCGCACAGGCGTGCCCTTGAACTGACAGGAGCGGAGTGAATCAGGCAGAGCTATCATGAATGAGCGAGGGGCGCGGTAAGAGAGGAAGGGGGCAAGTCATAGACTAGCGAGCTGGAGAGGGGATTCTTGCCAGAGGTAAGAGCCCCATGTTAGCAGGAGGTGAGCAACACTTACAGTCGAGATATTTGTTACTGGATGCACTGTTTTGTCCAGGATGGACGTGACTGTTAAGTTTGGATCAAAGGGAAAAAAGGGCTTGTGTGGGTCTTGTAGAAGCACTAGAGAGGGCATCATAGCTATCTTTCCTTTTCCGAACATGAAGGGGCAGACAGAAGGCATGCGTGGAGGAGTAATGTAGCATGTAAAAACACATAAATATGAGTACTTCATGGTTTTCACCCTCAGATCCTGAGACTGCAGAGTTGCAGAAGTCAGCAGGCTCAGATCCAGTTCCGCACCAGACGGGATAAAGTATTTTCTTCAATCTTACGAGGTCTGGATTACCAGCTCCTAATCCGATCTGAGAAACCCAGGTTGTGGCTGCACAAGCAGAAATTGAAAAGCCTGAAAGAAAGCGGTGGCAGTTGTGAATATTGCTACTCTGAGCTTAGTCCCAGTTCCCTGATAGTCTATTCTGCATTCTCCTGTTCCGTGGTTACGTTTAGGATTGTTAGCTATTGCGTCACCAGAAAGGTTGACTAATAATTTAAAGGGTTTGTGTCAAAGGCATCTTCCATTGTGAAATTTAAAAGTTGAATCAAAACAGACTAGATTGTCTGTACAGTACGTTAGAAGTTTCTGTTAAATTTGCACTGTATTATACATATATTTAATTTTTATCAGCAAGAAATTACATTCTTTAACAGAGAACTTTGCTCCAAGAATGGCTATGCCGCATCCTAGTGTAGCTTTATGTTACAATATTTCCAATAAAAACAGAGGATTTGTAAACTGCTTTTGCGTCCCACAGCCCTTCACAAGCAGGAGAAGACTCGCTTGTTTGTTCCTTCCTCCCTGAACTGCAGACATGCTGGAGTAACACATTTTACACGACAGCTTTCTCCACAGTGGAGAGAAGACGGAGGATAACGGATAAAGTCTGTAGGGAGGGAAAAGATGAAGGAAATACCTATCCCTTTCCTCCACAATCTCACCTCTTCCTTTTCTCAAATAACCCATCAGTCAGAATCATAGTGTAGTGTGTGAGAAACTCGGTGAGGTGCAAAAGAGCATAAGACATGTTATGAACAAGAGGAGGAGGTTGGGTGACCCATCCAGCTTGTTTGGTAGTTGGGAGGCTGATTGATCCCAGAGTCTCATCCCGCTGTTTCTGGAGAGAAAAGCAGGGTCTGGGCTATATGGCTTAGTATACCTGGGTAGCTTCATCTACAGTAGCTCCCCACCACCCAAAAAATTGTGTTTTGAGGTTATGGGAGATTATTACTCCTTTCATCTTTCCTGTACCTTTCCTGAACCCACTTCAGGAAACACTACAAGGATCACAGAGAGGCAACAGACTTAAACGACAGGGGCACTGGGTTTGGTCAGGAAGAGGCTACAGAGGGAGCTGTAGGAGAGTAGGGGTGGGAGAGTAAAAATGAGTAAATATTAACACAAGCTGATAACAATTCTCTGTGAACAAAAGTACTTCTCATCTCCTTGCCCATTCTCTAAATAGTTACTTAAGGGCCTTTCATATGAAAACTCAGATGCAGCAACATTCTTTGGTATAGAATTATAAAAAAAAAACTCATAGCAGACAATTCCACTTTTCCAAATTTGTTAGGACATTTTTAAAATACTGCAATGTGGCATGTGCTTTTCCTTAAACAAACCTCATCTTTTATTTAAGATTCCCGGGTATTTCCAAGTCATTTCTTGCATTGCTTTGTAATATCCAGTTTGAACTCAGCGCGGTGCTAATGACATTTCACAGTCTTGCCCTTTCTGTAAATGCTACGATGTCACCCACAATCCAGGGCTGCCTTCCTGACAGAGAATGCAAATAGGAAGGCAAATAGGAATTTGTGTAACCTTTGCATCTTCTAAGGGAGCTAAGACTACAAGCTATGAAGCAGAATAAATCATAATCTAAGCAGGCTAAACTAAAATAGGCACTGCTTTTAAGCATGTTCCTTTAGATTTTTCACCTGAAAGTTTCTTTGATGGTATTCTCAAGATTTGTATGAGAAACAGTAGTTAACAGGTGAACACACAAGTGAATTTACTCTATTTATATACTGGAACAGGATTGTTCGTTTTGAATTGTGTTGCTTTGTGCTACAGGTAGCTGCATTGAAATAGGTCCTGTGTGCATGCTTTACATTTTTCTCAGCATGCAGTGTGTAGATAAATAAGTAATGGTTTGAGCAGTAAATATTTAATCACCCCCATCTAAATTTTTATTTAAGCTTTGAGTGCTAAAATCCAGCTAGCTGTGTAAGAAATTCTAAGGTGAGAGGAGGAGAGATTATTGTATTTCATTTCATACAGACATGCAACATTTAAATCTCTCAGAGAGCTAAAGTCATTACTTTTACAGTAGTCGATACAATGGATTGTTTACAGTATGTCGATTATGTTCCTAAAAAAAGTACAGAATAAAGCCATCAATGAGTATGTGTTCTACTGTTGCTCTGTATTGTGAACAAAGATTTGCTCAGCGAGCATGCAAGAAGAGATTAAAAATTGTTTGCCGGTAATATTTCTGAATGGAGGGAAATGGAAATGAGTAAATAAAAAGTGAAGTTTGGTTTTATACATATTAAATTTTAAACAAATCACATGGCACACTTGCATTTCTTTATAGCAACTTAAGTGTTCTGTAAAGGATGTGCAAACATTTGTCAGACATTTGATTTCATTTATGCAGGAGAACAGTTCCAAAATCTGCTCAAAAAATCGCAATGGTGAGGAAAAGCGATTCTAACATTAGTACTGTATGCTCAGCCTCTCTCTTTTTAAAGGCGTTTAATCACGGCAGGATTGAAAGTACAGCTCGTGACTGAAGCTTCATGAACTGTGCGCTCGCGGGCAGGCAGTGATCACTGTGTGCTGCATTTCCACGGGCTTGTCTCTCTGGCGTCTTTTCGCATCAGTTCTGACGAGTGAAGCACAAGATGCAGGAACACTCCCTTTGTCTGAAAATCGCTTGCACGCGTTGCAGTGTGTGGAAAAGTGATTCCTGCTCAGACCCAGTCACATAGTGAACGTCCACGTGCTATATTTGTGTGACACACACCAGTGCCTGGACCGGAACATGGAAAAAAATAATATTCTCCATCGAGCCAGTGGCTCCCCCTGGTGTCTTCATCCCTGAACTAATCTCGTCTGTCGGTTTCCCATTCTCTCCGTTATTAAGTGCAGTAGTCATCAGCACACCATACTGAAAGCTTCAAAAGAAGGATTCATTCTGCAGCTCAGTTTTTTTTTTGTTATGGTGAAGTTGAATGCATTTGCTTTCGGGCCACTTTTTTTTCCCCATTCCTTTCTTTCTTAAAACTGCCCAGATTAATTATGTTTATGCAGGGAGCAAGTGACCCATTTTCTCCAAGCATCTATCTAAGACAACAGATGAAAAGAAAAGCTCTGAATCTTTATTTAACGTCTTTCAACATTATACAGAGGAACAGAGGCGCACAGAAAATCACTGCTCGGTGTTTTCTTTAAATACACCCCTGAGGTTTAGTTCTGTGGAAATCTGTCTTACTCTTACATGAATCATCCTCCAAGTGGTTTTCCACTGGTACTAAGCATGTTTTGACAAATAATGGATATGCTGCTATTGATCTAAAATATTATCCCATGTCAGTAACTATTTTTATAGTATACAGTATATGTATCAATGTATTTATTTTTAATATAGATAGATGGATATTCTATTTGAATGCTTCAGACATTTTTATTCAGGATTAGCTGCTCTGAGTGTGTATAATCCTCTTGTCTTAATGCAGTTTAGCTTTAACAGTTGGTTTCACATTCTAGTGACCACATTCTAATAAATAAACTCAAAACACAAGAGCATCTTTGAGGGAGCCTGGTCAATACCATGTACTTAGCTATTTAGCTTATTACATTGAGACTTTTTATTTTAGAAAAGCACCGAATTCTTGTATATTAAGCCAGGAGTTGCTACTTAAGAGAAGTTAAAAAGAAGTCCGCTTTGATATACTGTATGAACAATTTCTGTAGTATGACATGTTTTCCTTATGCCTTTCAAAGTGTAGAGTTAATGTCACCATTGAAAGTGGTTTGCTTAATACCTATTCATTGATATAGTGGGTTACACTATCTTGCTACAGAACCCTTAACATATAATACCATCATGTGACCTTCAGATTTCGGTCTCTGAAATAAGAGATATTGAGGACCAAAGTAGACTTTCTTTGTATTGTAGCAAGGTATTATTCCTTCAGAGTGCAAACACCTTCTGTTTTGCTGTGTGCTCCAGGTGAAAGTAGAGGAAAATCACACAGGAGTTCAAATGAAAAGACATATTGTAGCTCTTCCATGCAAAGTGAAAAGAAAGCACTTAATAAGGTCTGAAGAAAGGGAGAGCAGTAACATCGTTAGAAAGTAGTTAGAAAGCCTCACTCTCAGCTGTAAAACTTTGCTTGTGTTGCCAGCTCTGTGTGTCTTTGTGTTTATTTTGTCAGATATTTATTTGATCCTCTTTGTATATAGCGTGTCTAAGAATTGTATTGTATAGCATTGTTATTTAAAGTTTTTGAATTGTTCTGCTGTGACATATTTCATCCGTTTTATTTTGATTTTGTTTTGTAAGCTATGGTAGACTTGGATGTTTCACTGCGCAAAAAAAAATTGAAAAAAATGTAGCAAGTTGATATGAGAAACCTTTTTTGATACATTTTAAACAGCCAGATACCACACTGTGTTAATTGACAAGTGCACAGACAAGCATGTTGTGCATGTTCTTGACTGATAACAGCTAAACTGGGCATCTGCTTTGTACATTATTGTATAAAATCCTGTTCTTTTGCCCATTAACTAAACAGAGAATGTACAGCTACTCTTATTTCATGCCTATATGTAAAATAAAAGTATTTCAAGTGAGCTGAAGTTTCTTTTGCTTATCTGACCTTTTTTAGTTTCAGTTTATAAATATAGTTATTTTGCTGATGTCACAACAATGAGATGTTTGTGTCTTCTGAAGAGACCAATGGGGTTAGGGCAAGTCTCTAGAGGCCTTAACAAACAGATTGTTCAGACATTCCGATCACAGATCACACAAAACTCAGGTACTGTATCTTCTCCCTTAAGAGAATGACACTGTATCCATTTTGCTGCAGTGTGTTAGGATAGTACTGGGGTGGACAACAGGAGCCATAATCCATCAGATTTTACAGATTACCCTTACACAGTGATTTGTAAAGACATGGGACATAATGTATGATATTTGATCAGTTGAGTCAGTTAATTGGATTGGTTAAGACAGGAATGACTAACTGTGGAGCTACAAGACAGGCTGTTTGGGTTTTCAGTTGTCGATTTGACTATATTCCAGCATGTTCCTGACTGATAACAGCTCAACTGAGCATCTTCTTTGTACATTACTATATGAGATCTCGTTTTGTCCCCCATCAACTAAAAACAGAATGTATATCTGCTCTTATTCCATGCCTATATGAAAAATAAAAGTATCTTAGATGAGCTGCAGTTTCTTCCAGTTCCAGTCAAACTGAAATTCCACTCAACTACTAACAATTTGATGCAAACCTGCAACATGCAGTTGATTTGTCACGCCCAGTACACCTAGAGGGTGCTCTACTGTACTTCTCTCCTGTTCCTAGTTCCCTGTGATTATTCATATCTTTCTGGTGTGTCTTGTTGTGTAGCCTGTTTACTTCCTGCTTCTGCTCTGCTCCTTCGCTCAGCTGTGAGGTTCGGATGTCCTGAAACCCGCCTAGCACCAGGTCGCCCCACATCTGCTACCTGAGGGCATAGGTCTCTATACGGCATTTCCTGAACAGCTGAGCCCGGGCTAACCCCCGTCTCGCCGCTACGGAGAGGGTCTTTTTCGCTCTCCTGCCATTCCGCGGTTCGTCCCTTCCGACACCCGTGCTAGATTGTTAACCAAATCATATGTACCAAAAAAGCCAATAACTCCAAGAACACCATGTGTTTGACCTTTCCCTGTCAATGTACTGTAACTTAAAATGGCACTACCTCTTCTCAAAACCCGCCTTCCTGGGTTGTTTCAGCTGTTGGCTCTGACGCAGCGGAGGTCATCTTCGGGTTCAGTCATTTACAGGGGGAAACTAAACCTCCCATTAAAATACTGCTGCTCCAATAAGAATGCAAGTCACAGGGAGGGCCATTAAAACACAACTAATTAGTGTTTGTGCCAATGGGATTTCACTGGTTGAGTTACGGTTTGTACAGCAGCTGGACAATAGAAGAGCAATGCTGCTGTAAAAGATCGGCTTGAATTCAGGTATTTATTGCAGTTAGGAGACAGACAGAAAGAGAGTTTTCCGAGGTTAGTTTCTGCGTCTGCTAGAATCATAGCAATGTCTGGTAGTACGTACGTACGCATGCAAGGAGTTTTTCTCCTCAATGAAGATGAACAAATCAGTTTTATGGTCAAGACTCCCCGATGAGTTTACGAGCAACGTTGCGATTGGCTACTACACGTGATAAGGCTGCCGTTCTGGTCTCTGCAAAATGCTGTTAACGAAGCAGCCAGAAAGAAGAACTTCAAAAATAACCTCACATGATGTCGAGGACATTGAGTAAAGTTAACCAACATGTTTCAAATAAAACTTTTCGGTTTCAATTCATTTTTTAATATGACCAGGGATGGTCAGCCCAGGTCCAGGAGAGCCATGATCCAGTAGGAATTTCACATCACCCCTAAATCAGCAATGTGTAAGTGTCTGGAACACATTTGTATCCATAGAAACCCCAAAACCCTGTAGCTCTCTGGGACCGGAGTTTTCCATTCCGGATTTAAACTTATTTTCCCATATTAGCCTTCAGATACTCCCATTTTATTTATGTGACTTGATCCCAAATGCTGAAATTGAAGTTTTTAAGATACACCCCAGTGTTGCTCCTGCTCGCGTCTACATGATGATACTTTCAGAATAAGATTCAAATCAAGAGATCTCGGGTGACTGAGAAGAGGTGCTGTCCTGCAGTATATCCACACCTTTTCTGCTGGTAAAAGGCATGGCTTCATATCACTGGAAGTCGGTCATCACAATTATGTGACTGATAAGATTAAACGTTCCACAGTGCACCCTGGGCGTGATTCTGCTTGTGACAGGTCGTAACAGGCCACGGCCACTTTCTTTTGCAAGGACTGAAAACACGTCCATCTTAAGTCTCCCTGCAACACGCAAAGGTGAGTACCACACTGAAAACTAAAGAAGAAAAAGTCAGAGGAAGATGCAACAGCCAACACGATGTGTGTTTTATTATTTTGTTGTATATGTTTCAGTGTGGAATTACTGTAGTCTCCACTTGTCCCTTTGCATCGTGCAGACCGATGTTCCTCCCCACTCAGACCTCTGAACTCCCATTGGACTTCTGTTGTTGACATGTCATGGAAACTACAGCTTCCCAGTCAGCCTGGCCCTCTCATTGCCTTTGTCAGGGTGGCATCCAGCACTTTCAGCTCTCGAAAGCCTCAGTCACACAGGCACTACTGCACCTACCCATCTCTGTTGGATGAGGGATATTTGACATTTTATTAAATGAGAAAAAAAGAAGTGTACCGTCTGTGGGTCCACAGAAAAAAATCCATAGCATCTTTTCTGTCCCCTCTTGGACAGCCTCTAGCCCCGATTTCTTCCCAGAGAGACTCATATGTTATCTGACATCTCCTCCTCTTCTTCACAGAAGACCCTTGTTTCTCTGCCATCTTCTTTCTTCTCGTCTTCTCTTGACTTTCCTTCTGATTGTGCTTTTGTTTCTCCTTTCAGAAGCATTTTGAACAGCTGTGCCATCCATCCAATACTTTTGAAAGGTTGTCATTTGGTATAAAACAGATAATTGGGATAATAAAAAAACATAATATAACATTTCCAAGTGCTTAGTGCTTGTAAGAAAGAAAACTACCTGACGCTCACTGCTGAAGAGCAGTTATCAAAACCATCCAGGCATTTGTCAAACATTTAGGAAACATAAGACATTTAGAATTACATTTCCATTCAGTGTTGATTACGAGCCTTTTGAAACCCAGCTGACAGAAGAATTGACACCCCGTATCTCCAAGGATATGAGCTCTAACAGCAGCAAGTGTTTGTGGTGACCAGAGAGGTGTGATGCTGAGCCTTCCAGGAAAAAGTGCTCCACGAGGAAGCTGAACAGAGCCACCTGCAGCTGATGACCGTAGCGTGTGTGTTCAAGGGCACACACTGCCCTGCAGGCACATGTGGCTTGCATGCTGTTGGTGGAAATAGGATTGGCCAGGGCAATCAGCACTAATCCTGCTCCAGGGATATGGTTAGCTCATTCCACACTTGGCTTTTCCTGAAGAGCGCAGCAGGGACCCACTTCACCTCTACAGCTCCACAGGTACTGTGACTGCAGCTCCTATTTAGATTATTCACACAAGTATACAGTACGTACTGTATCTCCTCCTTGATTTTCTACAGATAGTGGTGAGATGATGTGTTTAAGACTGGCAAGGGAACTTTATGATAATGAAAACTCATATACGACAGCTAGCCGTGTCCAATTATACAGGACAAATTAGGTTGTAAATCAGTGAAAGATTTTAGAAAACAACTAAACACATATACCTTTGCATCACTATGTAAGACTGGAATTTATCATTTGAATGTCAACATGGAATTTACACAGCATAACCCTTGAAAAAGTTTTCAAATCCTAAGCAGGAACAATCCTCTTTGTTCAATTAAACTTGCACTAAAAAGGTGTGGGTGAGTAAGGCAAAAGTTTATGAATCAATTTTTTATCAGAGTTCATTTTTTTTCTTGGAGAAAGCTCTGAGGTTTCTGCTTCAGGACTAAATTATTAGTGTTAGTATTCACTACAAGTACTTTTTAATAGGAACAATAACGTAGTTGTCAACATATGATTTAGCTTTTCTATTATTATAGTAATTTGAAACATAATGGCTCTGTCAAAACTGGTATTTAACAAGCTTCTGCTTTTCATAGTATGCTCACATCTTTCCTTTGTGGCCGTGTGTTTTCCGAAAAAATGAAAAACGTGAGATGGATCATCCCCGTTCTTAATGTACTTGTGAAACATTTCGCAGCAAACAAACAATGTTTCAACTATTTGAAATTAATAGTTTCAAGGGGTTGTTGTGAAAGGAAGACATTCAAATGTCCTATCAGTAAAATAATTCATTTTGTTTCTCTGGTCAGAAGCTCCCCAGTTCCTTGCTCTGGTTTCTGGCCTGGTGGCCTTTGTAAATCCTCCTGACCTGTTAAGAATGTCACAGGGGATCATGCGGTTTTCAGTCTGATGTCAGCTGGGACATGGCTTAATCTAGCTCTGTTTCTATTAATATCACTTTTCCTGTCACTAACCTACAAGGACTCCTGCTCCTGCTCTGTTGGTGTACAGACCACACTGGGACCGACTGGGGCTCCAAATTGTGCAACCTCAGACTGGAGTAAATATAGAAAATAAATAATAAAAGAATTATTAACTATATTGATATACAGTAATTCTAAATATGTGCATGTATATGCAAAAAATGTATTTTTACTGCACAGTGGCAAAAGCTACACTTTCTTCCTTGTCTCCTAAAATGTATTTACATTTTTAGTGATGCCTGGATTTGTGTTTGTGCCAAGTCATAAAATTTGTTTCAGGAAGACAAGATTTTAGAAAAAAACAAAGGCTGCATTAAACTGTGAAAAAAAATTAAAAGATGTGAAGAATTTAAGTGCCCAGTAGTAAATTTCTAGATTTCTTAGTTGCTTTTTAAAAACACTTTTACAGTAGCTGATAAAAGTATTTGGATAAAGGGCTTAGCGATCTCTGAAATTAAATAGAAAACCTTTTGGCTCCAATGATGATGCCTAAGTGCAGTAAGAGAAGTTAAACCTGCATTAAACTTGATCTTGTATAAGATAGTAAGCACATCCTGACCTGTAATATACTACTGTACATCTTCATCTGGATGAACCATGGACATACTGATCCACCAATTCCATTTACAAGAGCAATGCCAGTTCCTAGACCAGAAATGCATATGGTTTCTGGCTGTCTCAGAGCCATAGCATAAGTAGAAAGAATGGGTGCTGAACCTGGGTAAATTTCTCTTCAGGTTTTGACAAACATTTCTGGTTCATCATGTGTTCTTATTTAAAATCTTTTTGTAAGTAAATCAGGTCTCGTCTTTGCTTGCATCATTCCAGAGAAGATGTACTGTACAATCTGCACTGCGAAGCTTAAACCCTAAACCCCAGACTCATGGCTGACTTTCAAGCAGACATTAAAAGATGTCACTCGCACTTTGACCACACTGTATCTGCTGCCTGATATCCACCAGTGTCGGTGGCCTTCACCACCTCCTCAGTCACTGTCACGAAGCGTCTTTCAGGACCCTATGCAGACAACACTATCCGGAGAGGAGTGAGAAAACACGGGGAAAAAGGCTAGGATAGGGTCTGGAAGAAGAGCAGGGGGCGTGTCCAAGGTGCGCTGGTGCTCGGGGGGTGTCCAGGGCAAACAAGTCCAAGGGTTTCTGTGTGAGTGTCCAGAGAAAGCCAATGTCCAAAGCCGGGTGATCCATCCTGACACAGACGAAGTTAAAAAGCCGGAGCGGGATCCGGCGAAGGGTCGGGGGAATAAAAGGGGGTAACGGGGCCAGGCGCTCCCAGTCCCGGACCCAGATGGTCAGGACGCCGTTGTGAAGCCTATGCCTTCGAGTCGCTCCTGGACTCGCGGGCAGGCGGGCTTCCGGGTGTCCGTCTTCCAAAGGTGAGCCCGGGAACGTCTGGCTTTTATAGGACGGGGTCAGGAACGGGAGGCAGTTGCAGGAGATCAAGAATAAACAAGGAAGGGCTGGAGCATCCTTAAGAGGAGGGGTTTCCGATCGTGACAGTCAGCTTCGTCTGTGCCTCTCCGGGCAGTAGCCGCAGTTTGTGTTGATCGACACACAGTATTTCTGTCAGCCATTGAGACTGGGAATAGAAAAAGCCCTTTGTATTAATGAATGAGTTGGGCAGAGTGTCATTCTGAAACTCTCGACTTTACTTCCTGATGGAGGCATTTAATCCTGCCTGCGCGAGGAACATTGGCAGTCTCTGCCTTTACAGCCTCCACGGTGAAACTCATGCCATTGTGTACACCCTTGGCTCTGCAGCGGACTCACGGACTGTCGGGGATGGCAAGCACATTCTCAAGAATGCTGACGGGCCGCAAGACCGCGGTGCTCCTGGCCAGCCTGGGCGCCGGCGCTTTGGCCACTGGGTACCTTGTGAGCGACACCAACCAGGCTGCCCACCTGGAGAGGAGGAAACTCTACCCACCAAGGTCTGCGTGATGCCTGCTCTAGGCTGACAGTTTCCTTTTTAAACAATTGAAAATGGTGGTACCGAATGCGATACAAGCCAGCATAGCCACAGGATACACATTCTGTTACGGAAATGGAGTGATTAGTAGTAGTAAAGTTTTATTGTATCATAAAGTATTCATTTAAGAGCTGACTGCAACTTTCAATGAAATGGGAGGAAGATTAATCAAAGGTTATTAGTTACATAGGAGTAGCTACAGTATGTGATTGTTAATAGGCAGCTAGTTAACTATTTACAGTGTCCACAACAGTGAAAGTCAGATATGCCTGTTTTAGGAGACTCTTTCCTGGACATACTGTACAGTATTATGTATCCCCCATAATATTGAAATATATAGTGAGATTAGCATAGGTAGGTTCAGGATATCAGATACACTTCCATAAGGTTCAAATACAGTGCTCTTTAATTACAGTGAGAGCAAATCAAACAAATATCTACCTCCAGGAGTTCACATATGTCCCTGATAGTTCCCAGCTCTCCCAGACAAGTTCCCCTCTTTCCCAGCACGCTCTCCCTGGGCTGGCCTCACCCGCCCCACTGCTTCTCCCTTCGGTGCCACCATCCCTGCCTGATGATATAAAATATTTTTGTGGTGCTGTTTTTCCCATAGATAGCTGCTAAAGGGAGTGTGGCTCGCTCCAAGAGTATCTTGTCGTCTCATGCAATTGTCTCTCTTCTGCTCCTCCAGTGCTGACTTCCCAGATCTCCGCAAACACAACAACTGCATGGCCTCCAACCTAACCCCAGCCATTTACAGCCGGCTTAGAGACAAAGTCACCCCCGCAAACTGGACTCTGGACCAATGCATCCAGACCGGAGTGGACAACCCTGGGCACCCCTTCATTAAGACCGTGGGCATGGTGGCTGGCGATGAGGAGTGCTATGAGGTACTGTAGCACATCTTCACAGGGAAAGAGACAAGGTGAACTCACTGACACAATATATTAACTTGAAGCCCATGAATACAACAGGTGGTTGATACTACATGTATATGCAAAATACTGTTGTATTACAGTATGACATGGCCGGGGGTTGGGTCACTAGACTGGGCACCTGTACAAAATGCACTTACTGTATAAATGCATCAATGATCTGAAAGAAGAGAAGCATCACAGGTCTGCTATTTGAATCCCTAGGTTTTTGCTGATCTGTTTGATCCTGTCATCAAGGAAAGGCACAATGGGTATGATCCGCGCACCATGAAACACGTTACTGACCTGGACAGCTCGAAGGTAAGGCCGTATTATTATAGGCTGTACTATTATTGTTACTGACACAATAAAGACACAATGATGGTTATTCTTCTATACTGTACATTAGACATGTGTGCATTCATTGGAAGTTCCTGGGAATTCTTCAATATATTTTACCTATCAATATCGTAAATGCCCTTACTAGCAAAGAGATATTTGATTGCTAAACTATAAGTAATAGTTTTCCACATACTGCATGTGAAATAGTTACTGAAAGTTTTTTTTAAAATAATACTATGGGATTGTCTTACACACACAGTGTAGTATTTTCTGAATCAAGAGCGATTCCAGGTGAGTATAAGGCTTTTTTAACTGAAATGTAATGTGGAGAGATTTCAGTGCTACCAACAGCTGACTTTTGTTTTAGTTTTAAGCAATGGAATTGATTGCAGGGTACACTCTTACTCTCTTTCTTTTTCCAAGTGTGACTCTCCTCATGGCTATACAGACTGTGATCACATTAGATGGATATTGGAAAGGGACAGGTAAACGTAAAGGATAAACCCAAACCAAACCTCTTCCTTTGTTGCCTACGCACGTTGACGCAGCTACCAACGTGAACTTCATAGATACATATTGTCACATTTCATTATTGAATGAGCTCCGGTGGAAAGTCTTTCCGTGCACATTCTGCAGGGTTGGACACTGTCAGGAGCATTAAACCCAGTGTTTCCAGCTGAGCTGTCAGTCGCTTATACTGTGGGTGCCGTCACTGACAGTGCAATAGGTTGTGGATACAGTCGAATGAGCATTGGAATCCATGACTAAATCAACTTTTTTTTTTTCCCTGGTGGCAACGCTGTGGTTCCGGACCGTATCGCGCGAATATTAAATGATGCACAACAAGGTCACAAACCCACTAAAATCTTTGCCCCCTGTTATTTTGCGCCCGGCAGATCACCTCGGGCCAGTTCGACGAGCGCTACGTGCTGTCGTCCCGGGTGCGCACGGGCCGCAGTATCCGGGGGCTCAGCCTGCCCCCCGCCTGCTCCCGCGCCGAGCGGAGGGAGGTGGAGCGGGTCGCCGTGCAGGCCCTGTCCGGCCTGAAAGCCGACCTGGCCGGCAGATACTACCGGCTGAACGAGATGACGGAGCAGGAGCAGCAGAGACTCATTGACGTGAGCTGGCTGGGGTTCGCGCTCCGATAGCCGAGGGGGCTGGCGTTTGTAGAGGTTCGCTCAGAAAGCAGGGGGCGGGTGATGTTCCGCACAGTGACCCCCCTTAATGTCACCCCCAGCTGCATTACGAGGCGGAATTGCATTTGAAACAGAGATTTTACTTTTTTCTACAGTACACGCACAACAGCAATACATATTTTTTGTAATAGAAAAATTTTACTGGACAAATATAAGGCAAAGTCGGCATTTAATTTATATAAATATATCTAAGTCAGCAAACAATATCCTGAGTAGACATGAGTGTAAAACATCTTTCCAACATCTCCCTGTGCCAGCTGGCGCTGCACATACTCTTGACCACCTGTCATTAAAGTTTACAGGTGTATTGGCATCTATTTTCGTCCTCTCGCTCCTGATAATCTTTGAGATCCTGCTGTACTGTACAGTACTGTATGTACTGTATACTGGTTGCACTACAGTATCGTCTTTCTCACTCTCCGCTGGATCTTTAAAACCATCTACAGTAAATGGAGCCAGTATTTAAAGTCACGTCCCATAACCACAGCAGACCCCTTCCCTAATGAGGTTCCTGATGTTCGCGAAACAGTTCTTCCCCTGTTGGACGTAAATCGAAGCTACAATATCCGATGACTTATCTGTAAAGACCGGTTTTAGAGAAAAATGAACGTTGGCAGCAAGGGGCTGGAAGCGGTCTGTGTCAAATCGGAATCGGTCCCGCCTGACCCGCCCGTTGATCGGGGTTCTCTGCTCCTTCCCTGCCGGCACGCCTCAGGAGCACTTCCTCTTCGATAAGCCCGTCTCTCCGCTGCTCGTCGCCTCTGGCATGGCCAGAGACTGGCCTGACGGTCGCGGGATTTGGTAAGCAGGCAGAAGTAGAACCGAGAACCCCAGAAAATGCCTTTACAGGGCATCCCCAGTCTCACCCTAGCCCTGAGTGCCCACCCTTGAGTTCGGACCTGTATTTTTCCCCACACACCACTGATCTACTGTACTGTGTATCCCGACCACAGCTCGGGTGTCAAAAAAAAAATGTGACACAAAAAATCTATCATGTTAGTCTATGGAGGAAGCCATTGTCTTTCTTTTCACTGTAAGTATGTTCTTGTAAGATACAATTCAGTTTTTATTACATACAAAATATAGTAATACAAAATAAAGGTAGTGTTAAGGTTATGCAGGAACAGGGTTCTGAACAAAAACAACTTTATGAGCCAGTATTTTTTCTTGCAGCTGTTGGTAAGCTCATGAATCCCAGTGCATTAGAGTTGCCCCCTGCTGTGTGTCCCTGGTGCTGTCCACTGTCCTGCTGCAGTGAACGGACAGGTGATTAGTGACTGTGCTGGACTTTATTACCGAGAGACCCAGCAGTCTGGTCAGGATTTGGACCTTCAATAGAAACGGTTGCAGGCAATGTGAGGTGACTTCCTGAGCCCTGCTCCTTTCTTGTTTGGAGAAAGAAGCTTTGTCCGAACGCGCTACACAGCCGTTCCGTTTGCTAGCTGGCTAGGATCCCTCCCTCACCCTCTGTTCCCTGTGACCTCTCTGACCTTCAGGACCACTTCCTGTTTGATAAGCCGGTTTCCCCGCTGTTGACGTGCGCCGGGATGGCGCGCGACTGGCCAGACGCCAGGGGAATCTGGTAGGGGGCGGGGGCGTGAGTGGGCGTGCCTGACCGCATGCCTGTCTGACCTCCTGCCAGAGCCCTGCACGCGTGGCATGCATCTCAGGAAGCTCAAGGCCGGATCGGGGGGGCTGCGCCCACGCAAGACAATTCTGACAGCTTAGCGTGCAACCGCGTGTTGGGACAGGTGATGCAGTGATGCAGTGTCATTTCAATCACCCCCATCAATAAGACCATGCAGTTAAAAATCCATAAACAGTTGTGCAAAGGGCTGGTGCATGGCTCTAACTATCGACACATTCCCAATTTGAATGATCACATGAACATGAACACACGGTCACTTTTGAACTTGGATTATTGTATAAGCATTCATGACGATGTTGGGAATTGAATACTGTACAATTGCACATCTGAAATCCCAATCTGTATATTTGAGTCAAATCTGAATTGCATAACTGTGGTGCTTTCAGTGCACTGCACTAAAGACTTATCGTAGTCTGATTGAAGTGGAACTTCTTGCTGCTGGCTTAATTGGACCAAGTTCTCCTGACTCTCCAGGTTCTGGAGCTTTAGAGAGACCTAGAAAAGCTGCAGACACGTCAGCCTACCAAGGCCACACTGGACCACTCTGATTTAAGTCATAAAGATGAATCACTTTCTAGTGATGGCACCCAGCACTATACTTGAAACATGCACATTTCTGCTGGATTAGAAAAATCTTGGGCTTGAAATTAACTTTGCTTCCTGATGTATAAAACTAAGCTTTGAAATCACCTACTTACACCGGTTTGATTAAATGAGTTTGAAGAGACATGAATGCTATTATATTTACTTTTTTATAAGAAGGTGATGCAGATAACCCTGGTATCGGTTTACCATCATCACTATTTGCCAAACTAACCCCATGGAATGAAGGAGCCTTTCTGTGATATTGTTCGTGATAATTGTAAAACAAGCTAAATCCTTCATGCTGATGTTGTGGATTAACTATTATACCCCGAAAGAATAAAATGCTCACACAGATTCCATCCAACAGAGATGTAACCATTTCACCTGTAACTCTAGAGCAAGAGTAAATTAATATCAATCGTTCAACCTGTTTATGAAAGAATGAAAAACAGTGTCCAACCACCCTTTTACAGCTAATAAATATAACAGGATAAGATGGGGTAAGTCCAAAATTCCATAGGGTGGTAAAAAAAAAGTCTCTTTGCAAAAATATTTAGGTTTAGATCTCTGCAAAATCTCTATAGATTTAGGGAAATATATTTTAAAATAACAGTGCTGTTTTGTATTGGACCTTTACAGTCTACAGGAAAGGATATGCTTTTGCCCTTGACAGCTAAAACAATATTGAAATCATGGGGTTGACTGGGAATAATTTCTTAGCTCACCTTGCATTTACATCTCTTGTAGTTTTTCACACCAGAAAATCTGCGCATGTTATATTACCGTACTCGGCTCGGAAAATGTGTTCGAATTCTACTTTCCTGTGGGCAGGCATAACTTTGACAAGACCTTCTTGATATGGATCAATGAGGAGGACCACACCCGAGTCATTTCCATGGAGAAGGGCGGCAACATGAAGCGGGTGTTTGAGAGGTTCTGCCGGGGCCTGAAAGAGGTACAGTCTGTCTGTCTTCACTGCAGCTACTGTCCACATAGTGAGAGATCTCCGGAGTTCAGCTTCCTGTGATTTCATCTGATTTCCATCTCCTGAGGTCACTATATCTACCAATGACATCATAACAACAAGAACAACAACAACAACAACAACAATAATAATAATAATAATAATTGGACATCCATTTGCTTGCCAGTAATTAATGTAATGGGACCGGTGCACTGATCCAGTTACAACAGTGACGTGTCTCTCCTGTCTCTGGATTGGTCACTGTCTGGGATGTGGCTCTGTGTCTGCTGGGATCCCACGAGTGACCAGGTCCGTATCCCAGCAGGCTCACGTTGACAGCTACAAGACCCCACGTCCGTCCCTCCATGCTGGCAAAACTATAGATGAGCTGTCTAAGACCTTCCAGGTGTCTCAGTCGTTGCACTACCTCAGGGCTGTGTGAAGGGAAACCTGGCTATTCAGTCACAGGGGGTTCGAGTAGGGAGCTGCGTCAGCATGCGCAGGCTGCAAAGGAACAACGCTTTGACTGTGGAGCCTTGTTCACAAATGTGTGTCCTATTCAGTCACATGCCCACACGTTTCAGAATCTTACAGCTTGGATTAGAACATATCTGAAGGAGCAGGCTTTAGATGTGCTGTGATGTACTGACTGGACACAGGTTTTGCACGTGTGTATTTTAGACAAAGCTGCCTTTATCACTCAACGAGGACATAGTCAAGGCCCATTATAAAGAGTAAATTCAGAGCACGACCTGGTGGTAGCAGATCTATTCTGACAGTGTACAGAAACTGTGCATTTAGTATTCAGTGACCACCAGGCGTTTAGTATGCTACATCATAGAAAAAACTGAAGTTTGTGCAATATAGTCCATTTTACAATGGAGGCAATATGAAAGATTCAATTTGATGTGCGCGTGTTCTTTGTTTCTTGTTTTAAAGTGGATTGACATGGCCCTTAAGGCTGGTGAGAACAGTGTGTTCTTGTAGGATTGCACACGAGGATGAAGCAGTGAATTACTAGACGTGAGACCTGCCTAAAAAGAGCCCTTCCTTTTGAATTCCAGAGATTTTCAGGGGTCACTGCCCGCTCACCCTGGGCTCGCAATGTCGCTTGTTGATTGAAGAAACCTTCTGGCTGCTCTTCCTCCTGGCTTGCT